ACTTCTGACTTTGGTAATGTTAGTCATCTTTCTCATTTTCTTGGTCCATTTCTTGGTCAATTTAGAGCAGTTTTAGGGTTTGCTCAGCAAAATTGAACAGAGGTATAGAGATTTCACATACAGTCCCACACATGCATAGCCTCCCCCACTAGCAATATCCCCCACAAGAGCAAATGTATACATTTGTTACACTTGTTGAACCTACGATGACATATCATTATCACCCAAAGTTCTTAGCTTACATTGGGTTTCACTCTTGGTGTTGTACATTCTATGAATTTGGACAAATTTGTATTTATGTGTCTATATCTTTATAGTATTATCCTGAGTATTTTCTTTTTTGTCCTGTCCTTTCATCCCTCCCCATTGTCAACCTCTGGCAACCCTGATCTTTTTGTCCATATACTTTTGTTTTACCAAAATGTCATATAGTTGGGATAATATGGTAGTAGTCTTTTCAGATAGGCTTCTTTGACTTAGTAACATTCAAATAAGTTTCTTCCTGGTCTTATCATAACTTGAGAGTTCATTTCTTTTTAGTACCCTAGGTTGTGGTGTACCACAGTGTATTTATCAATTTACTAACTGGTATCATTTTGGTTACTTCCAAGTTTTGACAATTATGAAGCTGCTATATACATTCATGTGTGGGTTTTTGTTTTTGTTGTGCACATAAGTTGTGTTAGCTTTCTGTTGCTGTGACAAAATCCCTAAGATAAACAACTTAAAAAGAGGAAATGTTTCTTTTAGCTCAAGGTTTCAGAGGTTTCAGTCCATGGTCACTTTCCCCTGTTGGTCTTCAGCATGGTGAGGCAGTGCATCATGGCAGAGCCATGTGGTAGAGGAACACTGCTCACTTTGTGGTGACAAGGAAGCAAAGACAGAGACAGGCAGGAGCCCTGGTCCCAATAGCCCATTCAAGGGCATGCTCCCAATGACTCAACTTCCTTCAGCTCAGCCCAACCTCCTAAAGTTTCCACCACCTGCTGCCAGTACCACATGTTAGCAACCAGGCCTTCTCCACATGATCTTTGGGAGACATTTAAGATTCAAACTATAACATAGTTTTCAGTTCCTTTGGTTTAGGTACCAAGAAGTGCAATTAGTAGATTGTATGGAATATGTTTAGTTTTGTAAGAAAGTACCAAACTGACTTCTAGAGTAGCAATACCATTTTGTATTCTATCAGCAATGAATGAGACTTCTAGCTACTCCACATTCTCTCCAGCATTTGGTGCTGCTATTATTCTAGATTCTGTCCATTGTGATCTGTGTATTGGTATATCCCATTGCTGTTGTAACATTTCCCTGATGACATACAGTGTGGAGCATGTTCTCATATGCATATAACTTTTTGAGGTGTCTGTTAAGGCTTTAAATCCACCCTCCCCTTTCCGGGACAGTAATGGGGTTTGAACTTAGGGCCTCATTCTTGGTACACAGATGCTCTTCTTCTTGAGCCACTCCACCACCCTCTTTCAGCCTGTTTTTAGATCAGGTTATTTCCTTGTTGTTGAGTTTTGAGACTGCTTTGCCCATCTTGGATAACAGTCCTTCAGCAGATGTGTGGTGCAAATATTTCCTCCCATCTCTGACTGGTCTTTTCATTTTCTTGATCTATGTTCCCTTTAAATATAGACATTTGCAGCTACCATCCTCCCTTAATTTTATACCTGCTTCTATGTAAATACTTCCTAATACTTAGGCACAGGCCTAAGTTTGGGTGGATAGGAAGCAGGTAACATAGGTTGTAACTTGGTAGAGTACAGAGATGGTCAGATAGTGAGAATGCCTGGGTCAAATACTCTATTATGTAATGGACATACAGTGCTGTTATATTCAGTAATTGTATATCTTGTACTATGACACGTAATATACTTGTTTCTGAGGTAAGGGTAGCCTCAAAATTATTTTTTTGCTTTAATTTTTTATGTTTTTTGCCTATTTAAAATATTTTATTTTGTGTTTATCTGGAAGTATAATTCTTGGTACAAATGTCTTTATCACTGAAACAATTAAGCATACAAAATGCAATTCTGAATAAGATCTTGACTTTTTTTTTAAGGAAGTAAATGTAATTTTGCTTTCACCTTTGTGATATTTTTTGTTTGCCACAGGTTATTTAATAAAACCAGTTTTATTTCTAGCAAACTTGAGTGTATTAAAGACAAAAACCATTCTCAGAGATGTTTTTGCTTTCCATTGTCTCCCTCCCTTCCTCTATTGGTGTGTCTACAATTACACACATTTCTGGCAAGAAGTTTGGTTTTCTGGCTTTTAAATTAAAGATAAATATTGGCTAATATTTTGGGCTGTTTGACCAACTGGACACAACAGTTGTAATCCGTATGTCAATAAAGGCTTTAGAAGAAAATTAACTTTAAAATGCTATCTTAATTTAAAAAAAAAAAGCAGATGAGGAAGCAGGCTTATAGAATTTAGGCAAGTAGGTTTTCATTACTGAATTGTTCCTATTTTTGCCAGTGCAGGAGTCTTGCTCAGATTTCTCAGACAGACAGGAATTGATCCAGGGCGTGGGCTCCAGAGGAGGGAATTGTTAGTAAATGAAATAATGAGCTACATAAGTTAAATATCTTTCCCAAATTACTGGGCATTAGGGCAGCAGAAACAGGCTTAGGACTCAGGAAGCCTCAGCTTATAGTAAACCTTATTTACTTCAGAAAGAATCAGACAATTTTAGTTCTAGGAAGAAAGTTTTAAAAACACTTACTTTATCCAGTCAAGTGACAACATTTGCTCAGATGTATATGTCTCAGGATAATTATGTTTTTGATTAGCATGGAACATGTTTATTTTTCAATCTCCTGAACTTTCATCAACTGCACCTAAGGGAAATCTATAGGCAAGTTATTAGAGTAATATCAAGTAAGAAACTGATAGGAGAGAATGTCCAATTGTCTATTCCATTAAGGATCAGATACACTTTCCTGAAAAAAGTATGAACTCTGATACAGGGAAGGAGACAATCTGAATTTTTCAAAAATGTCCTTCAGTTAAGGCTTGAGAGATACTAGCAATTCCAGCTAGCTGACTTTTGGTCTGATTAATTTCTGTTTCAGTGTGTTCCAGAGTTTTATTTCCAAGAAGATCCCTGGGGATGATATTCAATATAAAAAAAAAACAACCAATAAAATCCCCAACTAGCCTCTAAAATTAAACCAGAGAACAATCAGGCCCTTTTTCTAAATTGGATTCCAGAGCCCTCTTGTACCTGGTGTGATCCTCCTGTCTCCTACTGAGGTCACACCCAGCTTCCTCCATTATCAATCTTGGCTGTTCACATCCCATGTCTTTACTGTTCCATCTCAAGGATCATGGGAAATAATAAATGAATTTGTTACATCTCTCTGACAACACTTCAAAGTTCACAGCTGTCTTTAATGCCTCATAGTGAATGATGTGGTGATGTGCCTTGAGAACCAGTCAGTTCTCCACCTCTGACCCAAACCACTGGTGAAATTGGCAGAGTCATTCTCTGGGGCTAGTGATATAGCTTACTGGTAGAGCATTTTCCTGGCATGGGTGGGGCCCTGGGTTTAACCCCAAGCACAGAAAATATTGAGAAGTACAGCTAAGTCATGCTATCAGCCCAGAGTCATTCCCCAAACCATCAGTTCTGCCAGTTCTCTCAGCTTCCCATTTTCATGGTTTCTGGGATATACTAATGCAGATTTAAATGTGTTGAACCAAACGCTCTCATGCCAACTGCTTTCATGGATGTTCCTAGAGAGAAAGGCTTATTTTCCATGGTACCTGCTTCTCCTTTGGAGTCTGGTTCTGGAAGTTATGATACAGACAGCCAAGAGTAACTTTTAGAGTGCCCCACAGCCTTGCCTAGTAGGGCTGGGTTTAGGTGCAACTGAATCTGCCATGTGCCAGCTGGGAGGCTTTGTCCAAGTTACCTAAACCCTGAGCCTTGGATTTTGCAGATAACATGATCTTCCTCAGAGGAATCTTGAAAATTAAAAGTGGAATATGTGAAACTCTTAGCACAGTGCTTAGCCTCTAGTAGGTGCTTAAAAAGTGCTCAGTACTATTTATCATGTACTATTGTCTGTGCTTCAGGTGTTTGTGCAAGAACCAAATAAGACCAATTGCTAAACTTTGTAGAGGATACCTTGATACAAGGAATGAAAAATGTATTCAACTCAGTGTGAAAGGTAAAAGTAGTATTTCACTAGGGATTATGTATGTTTCTTTTCACTTTATTTCTCTCTCTATATAGAGTACACTGACTTTCTAAATGCAAACTGATGAAGTCAGAGATTTATATCTTCCTTGTGTTTCCTTTCTTTCTGGTATTCTGCTTCTCTTGCTGTGCTGATTTTAACTTGCAAACTTAAATCATCGGGATTGTCTTGGGTACTACTCCCTCCTTCTGTTGCCTCTGACATTATTTTCTGTTTTTTAAAATTTTGCCCCAAGGTCTGACTATGAATCCCAATTTCGTGCTTTGTTTTGTGGTCCTTGACTTTTTCGCTTAAAAGGAACTGACTGGTAAGGCTCTTCACTACTGACAGGTGGCTTCCTAAACACTGCCAAAAACACAAACAAAACAAAACACCCCAAACCCGAACAAAACAATGCTGTTTATTTCCACATTCACTAGTATTTGTACCTCTTCTGCTCTCTCAGGCTCACACCATCTACAGCTGCTTCTCAGAGCCCATCTGTGACCAGCTTCCAATAATATAATTCTCTATTTTTTACTGATTGCTTAGTGTGATGATTGTCTTTCAGTTCTAGCTCAACGGTGTTTTTGCAAGGATCAGTGAAGTGTGGTTGAGGATTCGGGTTCACCAGGACTTCACTTGGAACGTACAGGACTCAGAAAAGAGAATTTATTTAATGTATAAGTTGACTTACTGAATAAAAGTAGGCAAGAGGAGGGAATGACATTTTATTATGACTAAGCATCTGTATTTTGATCATCTTTATGTATGTACAAAGAGCTATCGAAAGGCATATGAAAATGAGAATTTTTTTTTAATTTTCAAAAAGCAGTAAAAACATTTATATATGAAATTCTAATGCCATCATTAGGGTCCAACTCCTGCAGGTTACCAGTGTGGAATTGTGTATCACCAGAGGCAGCTCTGCAGATGGACAGGCAAGCAGGAAGAGAGAACTCCCTTAATTGCTGTCATGATCACAACATAATAATAATTACAAAATAATTAAAGAAGGTTCCTGTAGCTGGATAACCCTGCATAAATAGGTAACACAGTTAATCAAAATGTAAACATGGTTTTCTGACCCCAGTATAGCAAGTATGAAACTAGTTACAACCAGAACCATTTCTAAATTATCCCACGATGGTGATTCTTACACTTTGCTTCTTTGCTGTGTGATCCCTATGTACTTTTTCCCATTCATCATCTTCTGTGTCTTGGTCAAATGTGTCAGGGTATGCTGGTAACTTGTCTTTGGGGCATTCTTCATAGTAACTCCGAACGTATTTTGCCACAGACCATCCTTTGTACTCCTCAGGCATTTTGCATTCCAGACCACTATAATGGACGTTGTAGTGGTGCTTCAGCCAGTAGTAGAGGTAGTGGATGTTGTAGTCACATTTCCAAGGGTTATCTCTGAGCCACAAGAGTTTCAAAAAATACAGGTCTTCTAGAACTCCGTAGTCGAAGTTTTTCAGACTGTTGTTTGATAAATCTAGCTCTTCTAAATGTGTGAGTCCTAAAAAAGCAGCTAGAAAGCGAAAATATTTAGCAAACCAGTGAGTAATTGAAATATACAAGTGTGTATGATACATGATCAGGACAAATACAGATTAAAGGCAAGGCTTAATTCCTCCTATTGAAAAAAAGAAAAAAATGTCCCCTCCTATTCTGCAGAGCATTTGTTTTAGAAAACTTGGTATTATCTGCACTTTCTCCTGTCTTTGGAGTGTATTAAAATCTTTTTAAAGACTAGATAGACTGTTTATCACCTTTATAATTTGGAACTGCCTTTCTCAAGGACCTGGGAGCCATCTCTGACATGCAGGCACCAATCCAGAGAAAGCTTTGCCCTCTCTCAGGCTCTGTGTGAGGGTAGGAGCCAGGTTTGGTGGGAAGACATGTCTCTGGTTGCAAAACTACCTGTCATAATGCTGTAAGTGTGGTTTTCTCCTGGTAAAGATGGAGAGCTAGCCCAGATGATCATTCCACTAAACAGGTAAAGCTAGGATGAGGTATGTGTGGTAAAATGCATTGTCAAATTCTCTTACTTGAAGAGTAGTTACTGTTTATCTTGAAAGCATGTATGTAATGGTTAGTACATAAGGGGACTGAATTTCTCTCTACCTTTGCATCTGTTAGTGATTATCTGTGATATGTATCACATTCTGGGACCATGCTTT